ACAGAATATTTCAGTCTAGCAGCCCTCTCTGTTGGAAAGAAACTCAATCCCCTTCATTTCACTTGTACTGCTCATATAACCCTCGTTAAAATGGCTAAGTCATTCAAATGGATTTTAATACACAGAGCCTCTTTTTCTGTTTACAAAAACAAATTCTGCTTGGATTTAGAAAAGTTCATACCTTAGGTTCAAACTTTAAAAGATGATTCAGCCTCTGGGTTGTGATGGAAACAATTATGTTGTTTGCTAGTCTTGTAGCATGTCTGACCAGAAAAGTTTAGCTATTAGTATTGCTGCTTCCTTATCAATTGGCAAACTTTTTAAGCAGGATGCTTATCAGATTTCAAATGGACACTTCTGGCACCAGCTTCCATACAAAACCTGTTTCATATGAGCCTTCACAAGAGTTCTGCTCTGCAGTGTTGGCAGGAATTAATCACTCATTTGAATGTTTGAGGAAGTTAGTGAAAACACCATCACATAGAAGCCAGAAATTTATTTGGAACAAATACTGACATATGCATGTTTTTCTCTGGCAAGCCAGCCAGCTGAAACTTGGATTCCTGCCATTCCTTCCTAAGTGCTTACACCTTTTGAACACTTGTAGGTACTTACCCATTTTCTAGAGGTATTTGGCAAAACTATGAATGTTTAGTTATTTCAGTCTTCCCTCATAAATCAATCCCTTCAAACTCCTAATCATTTGTTATTCTCAAGGTCCCCTCCAGTGTTGGATTTCTCTTCACTGTATATTATATAGAGCAGAAGTTGAATAATGTGGGAATCAGACTCTGTAGCTCTCACAAAGATGAAGACTTGCAAATAAGACAGCTGCAGCAAACAGCTACAGGGAGCCACCAGGTGCTTCGAGTGATTGCTGTGAATTTTCCTTCAAAGGGCACTGCTTCTCCAATTAGTTGTGTGGGATTGTTGATGAGTTTCAGCTGAGTAGAGAAGTAAGACCCTTTGAAGTAAAAAGCTGAAGCAAACACATGCATAGCTCATCCTTTATTTTGCAACCTGCTTCTTTGGCAGAAGATTGCCTATCATCCAGATATGAATGATCCAGGTTGGACTACACCATAAAATACAGCATAAGCTAGGGGCCATTGATTAAAAAGGGGATTACCCATTTCACATTCCTTGCAGTGGGATGTGGTCCAAGATGGTCCCATATGTTCTTGAGGCCAGTGTGGTGGCTCAGGTTCTGGCTCTGATGACCAATGCTGCTTCACTTCACCACTTGTAACTTTTCTTAAGTTGCCTCCACGTGTTACCTTGGTTATATGGAAACAAAGGCCCCTTTCCTGAGCCCCTAGCTCCCTCCAAACATGGTGCAAGCACCTCCTCTGGGCTCTTTTAAAAAATGTTTGGACGCTTATCTTGCTGGGATCCTTTGACCCTAGCTGACTTCCTGCCCCTGGGGTAGGGGGCTGGATTTGATGATCTTCCAAGGTCCCTTCCAGCCCTAATGTCTATGAAATCACTTTCCCTTTACAAAATGAAGTCATTGTGAAATAAAACCAAATGCCCACAATACTTCAGAAGCATGCTTCTTCCTCAGGGTACTCTTAAACCTCAAAGCTTGAACAAGTTCAAATTACTTGAGACCAAAGTTTAGACGTGAGAAGCAGACTCAATGGTTGCAATGATCAACCTATGCATCATGATGTGCTAAAATCTGATGCCTGACTGTCTGAAACTTGATGCTTAGTAGCCACGTTGCCAGCAATCTCTGCTAAGAATAAAGCAATTATATTTACTCTTCACCCAGAAAAGCCAATCCCTTCTCATGTTTTTCCTCATTATCTTATTAGGTCAGATAAAGATGTTATCAAAAATTTGAATGGGATTAGAACTCTACTCTCTGGAACAAAATACAGAGAGCCATTGTACTTCCCCACTCCCTTTTCTACCTCAGTTACAATTGCCCACTTGGCATGATCATACCAAGAAACTTTCTACCACTCAAGCTTGTGGAGGTATTTTTAGCTGAAAATAACACACATACCTGTGACAGGCGAGGCAAGATGCACATAAGAATGTGGGTGGGGGAAGACCTTTGGTTTTCTAATTTTAGGATTACGATAGTTCATCATTCTAGCCAAGGGGAAGGGCTAATTGCCCCTCTCTCTTCAAAAACACTGGGTACTTTTTTACTAGGAGTGGTTTCTCCTTTGAAATGTGAAGCTTCTTTCTCTCTTGCAATTCTTTCTGAAACTTACATGGAGCAGATTTTAAATCCCTCAGAGTTCAAATATGACAATTCTCCCTTTGCTATGGACAGGAATGTGATGAACTGAAAAGTCCAACCCCTATCAGAAGAAAGAACCCATTTCATCCCCATCTTCTCCAAGCTACATTTAAGGTCTCATCCAAAAGAAGCCCCAGATCTCCTTCAGTATGATAATATCCCTTAATGCTGTGCTACACTACCATTACACACTGATTCAGGCAAAAAGTTTAACATCGAGTCAGATCACCACCACTCCCAACTATAACAGGGTTTTCCTTGGAGGGACTCCAATAATGTACTGACCAACAGGCATAACTCTACTCAGCTTGTAAATCTTGATGAGATCACATCCCAAGATGAACCCCAGAGTTTTTGTTTGTGAATGCTATGTTGGCATAGCAATTGTCAGCCAATAAGATGCCCCTTACTCCTCCAAGTGTTGTGTTCCAGCATAGATACCAGGTTTTTCTACTGTTTTATTTTCACTTAATCCCATTATAATTTATGCTTATCGCTGGTGTTTGCTTCTTCTACTCAAAGCAGGAACATCATTTGTTAGTAGTGTAGGACTGAATTGCTCACTACGCTCAGTTTATGCTTGTGGCAAGCTGTTAGGGAGCCACTAAAGGAAGGGGACAATGTGGATGTTAAGGATGGTGTTCACAACTGGAGGGGCAGAATGGATGCAGGGTCATACAGCTTCTATCTACAAGCATTACCACTTTTCTGCCCCACTTCTTTACACCCATCTGGAATCTCCACAGTTGGGAAGAACTGCTTTAAGTGGCTGAAAACAGGTGGCTTTAGTACAAATGGTAATCATACATTCTATGAGATTACAATGCTACCTTATGTCTTGGAAAAACCTTTTGTTGTACTATAAATAGCCACAGGATGCAGGTGTTCCCATAAACTTCTTTCACTGCTGTCAATACTTGGATAGACGTATCTTACATATATCTTCCCTAACAAGTCCAACACTTTGCACATGTTGTGTCCTGGATTTAAAAACATGGTTCTGACATGTGCTTTGGTGTTTTTCATATATACCCCATCTATAAAGTGAGGCTTAGTTACTGTGAGTCTAACTGTATTGGTCTCAGGGAAAAGCAGTTTAAAGATTCAAAAAGGCAAAAAAAGTTTATCTCAGTAGTGACAGCACATCTGAGAGCTTGGAGACCTGGGTTCAAGTGCTGTGCTAGACTGCCTGTGACTTTGGCAAGTCATACCCTCATAAATATGTTACTGTAGCAGTTCAGTGTCCATCTAATACTAGTATCCATCTAACATACTCAAAATGAGTAAAATCTTAAGAGCACCTGGAGGTCTCTAAGAAAAAATATAAACCTCTTTCCAGTTGCATAAACCTCCTTTCTCCTGCAGCATTTCTCAAGATCTGAAACTTATACTAGCCTCAAAGACAATAACATTTCTGTGGGGAAGAGAGAATCTGGTAGACCAGAGCCATTTGAAGCTGCTTAGAGGTCTAGTTTCAACAAGTGGTGGAGGATACTAATTAGCAGGCAAATTGTTGCGGAGACAGTCAAAGATTAGTGATAAGTATTATGGAAGAGAGCAGGCACCTTATATTATAGACAGAAATGCCATCTAGTTATGGACACTGGATCTGGTTTAAAAAAAAAAAAAAGAACGTAAGTGTTTCCTGTGTTAGAAAATGCAATTTTACTCCAAACACTTTATGGAATAATGTGCCAACTGATAAAATATTCAACAAGTTAAAAAATTCTGATAATATATGAAACAATTAAAATGTTACTATATTATGCTTTGACATTATTGGAAAACATTTTGCTGGCCCTGGCTCAGAAGACGTCTAGAATTTTCATTCCCTAGAAAATGTTATTTTTATTCCAGTTTGGAATTACTGTCTTTTGAAAGTCAGAATTTCCTATAAAACTGAAGCTCCAGGGTCTTACCATTTTTAATTACACAGGTTTATTATTTAATTGCTCACAGAAGTAGATCCCCCCACTTTTTAAGAGTTAATGACTACAGTTCTTATTTGCTCATATTAGTACAAATCTGGTCTGTTCTTCCACTTTTAGAGAAATTCTCCTGTACTCCCTTAATGCTAAAATGTTAAGAGGAAAAATAGCATCAGAGGGCCTTTTACTTCAGGACACAGGCCATTGCTGCTTAATTATGTAAACTGTGCCCCCTTGTGTTGGCTTTCAGATATTACTATACAAAGGAGAAAGGCTTATGACGACTTAAAATAAAGCTTGAGTTGACAACATAGGATCTGTGGAGCCACTGGACTCAGTCTACAGAGCTTTGTCTGTGCCTGTGCCCACACCGGGGCTGAGCATTGAAGAACTGTGCTGGGGACCAGTCAGCTGGAATCTGTGTTTGTGCTGCTGCCACTTCTCTCCACCCTTCTTCCCCCTCCCCAAGTCTGTGTTATTATGTACAGCTTCCAACCAAAGTGGAGCTGTTCTAGGGCTGGACAGGGGAATAATGGCAGCAATAAAGAAGCAACTTCCAGCTTCCCAGCCCCAGCGCAGCTCCTTTGTGGCTGCAAGCTGTGGTTACGCTGCAGCTGGGGAGCGGGGGGTTGGGAGCAGTGCACTAGGGTGCCTAAAACATCACAGCCACAGAAGGCACTGTGATGGCTCAAATTAAATATGTACATGTGTAGGTGCACTGTAGGAAATTTGACATAAAAGGAAGGAAACTTTATAGAACAGATGGCTTTGGAAGCTAGCAGAAGTAGCAAAGCAAGATACAAGACAAACCCAGAGAATTTATTTTTTTTTATACAACCAAAATGTATTTGCAATTTTTCTCTAGAGCAAGAACCTTTCTGTCAAAGGTCAGCATCCTGTATTGCAATGCCTTATCCATGCCTAGGAGACTAAGGAGTCTTCCCCCTCATTGTTTCTATAAAAAGTTCTGAGAGAGAAGAGGTGCTCCCAAGTATCTGGATGGTGAGTGACAAGAGGCTTTCCCCACCTTGCTAGTCTTTTCTTACAGGCCTGTGTTTCTTATTCAACCCTGTGTAAAGAGACAGCTATTTCCAGAACCTTATGGACAGCTCAGCTGCAGGAATAGACAGGGATTCAACATCACCAAAATGTTTACACTTCGAAGGGAAGCTGATTCCAGAGTACTACCAAGATATGGGTTCAGCCTGTAACTGACGAAAGTGCTGGTGAAGTAAGTGATACAGATGTCTTTCCAGATGAACTACCAGTCAAAGATGGGCAATTCCAGAGCTTTTTAGTTTGCTAGGGATACAGGTTACTACACTGATTTCCCACAACCCAGGCAGCCTCAGAGAAGGTGGTAAAAAAACATTTAAGTGTCCAGCTAATGCAATTTCCTTTTCTTCTTTTTCCCACCAGCCACCTTGTTCCTGACCCCTGTCGCTTCCTCTGTGTCGTCGTTGTCATTGGCCTCATCTCGGGATCGTTTCTTTTTCTCTCCTTGCTCCCTCAGTTCCTGCACAAAAACCAAGGAAAAGAAGCTGCTAAGAACAATTCTTATTCAGAGAGAAAGAAATCAAAGCACTGGAGACTGTTAGGGAATAAAAATGGCATGTACCATACGAGCAAATCTCTGGGCTTCAGCCACACGTTCTGTCAGCATCATGACCTCCTCCTCTTGTGTGGGGAATGCTGGCAGCTTCTTGCCAATCAGGTGCTCAATGCGCTGGAACAGCTCAACATCATACCTGGAAAAATGAAAAGCCAAACCAGATCAGTCTTCCTGAAAATGCTTTGGTTCTTTCCTTCTCCAAAACTATGACAGCCCCTAGCACACCATACCAAACTTCACTTCTCTTCAGTGTGGGAAGGGCACTTGATACTAAGGTAGGATGGAGACAGGCGTGGCCTGCTCTGGAATACAATGAAAAAAGGAGACAGGCACAGGTTACTTACTGTGTGACGAAGGTGATGGATTTGCCAGATCGCCCAGCTCGAGCTGTCCTCCCCACACGGTGAATGTAATCCTGAGAACAAATACCTCAGTCAGCAATAAGATGTGTTCTGACAATTACAGGATAGAAAACAATCTCTGGAAGTGCAGCCCATTTCATCATCTCTCTGGGACATTAAAGAAACCATAAATGATGGGACAAATATGGCCAGCACATATATACCCCATGGAGAAATATAAGTAGTGGCCCTACAAACTGAGAGGATATGGCTGATGGAAGGAATCTTTGGCTTTAACCTCTCTATGGATGCATCCACGGTGCCCTTTTGGAAGTACTAAAGCACAGTGAAGTAACTGCCCATACTGCACCGCGAGCATAGTGCACTGTTAGTTTTTGCTGCTACTTTGCCATAGCAACATGCTAAAGTGGAGGAGCATGCCATTACGGTGAAGTAGCTACCAGTCATATATAGACCTACATTGCTATAGCGACATGCTGCAGTGACATAGCATGTTGCTATGGCAACAGGGTGATGTGCAGGCATGCCTTGGGTGGTGACATTATGGCAAGAACAGTCCCTCTTTGTATTCCTTCCTGACAGTCAAAAAAAAAAAGTCAACTCATGATAAAATAAGGTTAAGTTATAAGTAGGCTTGGCAGAATTCAATTTTTATTGGTAAACATCTATAAATGCTGATTTCACCTTACACTCACAGACCAATCAAAATAAAAAAAAAAATAAAAAATCCATCTTTAAATAATCGGAAAGAGAGGGGAAGAACAGAAGGGAGTCGTAGACCAGAACAGAGAGGGCCGTCTCCTTAAAGAGGAAAATGGCCTAACAACTCAATTAAATTAGCTGCCTGTTCATAGTATGGGGAATGGGGCTGGAGGGTGAAAAGAGACTACAAGCCTCTACCCAAAGCCAGAGAAGGGGGAGAAGAGTATTCAAGCCCTGGAGGAAGGTGTAGGAAGCAGAAGTGAGGAGTTCCTGATGCCCAAGTGGAACATCTCAGCTGCAGAAAACTAGGGAGAGACTGTAAGAAGTGGTGAAGCAGGCGACTGGTGAGACTGGTACGTGGATAGAAACACTCTGACTAGAAAGAATATAAGTTTTGGTGTTTTCTTGTCCTTTTCATTGTTTTTTTATTCGCTATCCTGGGGCAAAAGATCTATATATTGTTAATTTAATTTTAAAAGATTGATAAAAAATAAAAACAAATGCTTAAAAATAAATATCAATATTATCTGTTAAAAGTATTAAAAAATAAAAATAGAATTCTGCCGAGCCTAGTTATAAGATACTTGAATGCAGTTATGGGGATAGTGGAATAGTCTAAGGGAACTGCAAGTTCTTTTGCAGTTGTTCAGTATCAAGAACATGTGAGAACATACTGTGGGGAACAGCATCTAACTAGAAGGGCAAGCTCTAGGGCAAAGAGGATGAACTGGTTCAGTAGCTTTTATATATTCTGGAGGCTTGTTGGTTACATAGTGCAAGATCATGTCCAGCTGATAAGGCAGCTTAAATTTACTGACAACTTTCCCATGCAATTCCTGTTCAATATTCCTGTTCAGTGCAGTAAGCTCTGATGAGGCAGAACTAGGTAACTGCAGTGCAGGACCTTACGAGTGTGGTTATGCTGCTGCCTGTATAGGAGATAACCCATATAGCTGCTCAAACTAGCTCTGGGCACACTTTTATTGAACTGGAAGTAGGACAGCCATCTTAATGCAGCATTGCTGCTATACTAATCAACTCTTCATTTTAGTATAATTCCGTGAGCAGTGCAATTATTTGAGCAGAATCTAAGGCAGCTATGCTGCTTTTAGTTTGGGAGAACCTACACAGAGATGTACAGTGGGTCAGCATGATGTTTCCTGCTGCTATGAGAACATTTGGGAGGGGAGGATGGAGTGGGGGTTAAAGTACGACTGGTCTATGACATATGGGATGCATCTATGTGTGCATTAATGTGCCTTTTCTAATGTGCATGAAATGGAGTACCTCCAATGTGAGGTACTAAATTAAAGTGCATTAGGCTGTGCTAATGCACAGTAGTTCACTTGTATGCTTTTTTAGTGACGCTTAATGCACAGTATACTGTTTCACTGCGCATTAATTTAATGTCATGGTTTTTTACACGATGCTTTACAGCGCAGTAAAATAGCCTATGGCAAATTAAAGCACACACGTAGATGTGCCCACTCAATTGCAAAATGCTTAACAAGATGCTATTACAATGTGGTTCATGGTCATAGGATTGTAGGAAAGGAAGCCTGGAAGGGACCTCATAAAGTCATCTAGTCTAGTCTCCTACTTCCCGACTAAACCGTCCCAGCCAAGTGTTTGTCCAACAAATTTGAAAATTTCTAAGCATGGAGAACCACAACTTCTCTAGGTAGCCTGTTCCAATGCCTGAGGAGCCTCAGTCAGAAAGTTCCTCCTAATCTCCAACCTGGATATCCTCTGCTGCAGCTTGAGGCCATTGCTCCTAGTCCCATCCCCTGTGGCCACAGAGAAAAGGATAATCTCCATCCTCTCTATAATTACCCTTCAGGTATTTGAAAACTATTAGTAAATCCCACCTCCACTTCTCTGTTCTCCAGATTAAAGGTCTTTTCTCCCGAGTCCACATTCTGAAGGTCTAGTAAAAAACTTAAGACTAGATGGGGGAGCAGGTCTATTCTCCCAATTTACTTTTGGTCTTTTTCATAGCATGAGGACAGTTTTAGAAAAAGAACTGTGCTCTATTTGTTTGCAATGTGCCTATTACACAAATAACATGATGGGAAAGAATGTGGAATATTGTTTACAGAATACTAGGTCCTGAACTTTGTGCTAGCTTTAAACAGGACATTACAATACAGAAATAATTTTCAACAATTTATCTTCAATAGTCAGTTTCTTTCTTGCTGATAAAATACTCCCCTTTTTTAATTTGGGAGATGCAGTGAGGCTTTCTGAGACTAATTTTTGAAAGTAATTACATTAAAATTCCAAAGTTGATGTTCTTTTAACCCAATTCAAAATGACATTTGAATTAGGTCTCCTTTGTCTTGCTTCCACATAGATGTAATTAACATTTAAAAAAAAGATGGAGAACAGAATTCCTGCTTATTAGACACTTCCTGTCCAGTTCAGACCAACATCCCCAAACCCCACCCAAAGGAAAAGACCAAGTAAAATGGTCAGAAAGGAAGCAGTACAGCTTGAAATCAGGACAAGTATGAACTAGAGCTCAAGTCACCAAAATGGGAGAAGGAAGAAAAGGAGAATTTTTTTTTCCCGTTCTTTGTAGCAAACTCCAAGGCTGCATCTTATGACTCTCTTTACAGGATTCTCACCTTTGAGTGAGTGGGGATGTCAAAGTTTATCACCACGTCCACATGTGGGATATCCAAACCTCTGCTTGCAACATCTGTAGCTAGCAGAATGGAACGTGTCTTTGCCTTGAATTTGTTCAGGGACCCTAGTCGTTTATTCTGGAGGAGCAGAAAAATGATGATTAAAGCAAACAAACCAATCCCAGAATGAACAAACAAAAGAGAGCGAGCCTGACAGTGTCCTGCTGTTGTTACATACTGGTAATTTCCCATCCTTCTATACACAGTGCGAGTTACTCCAAATAAAATGTTAAATTGGAATTTAGCATCACTCTCAGTAAATAAACCTTGAAGAGCCAATCCTGCACACTTTTTATGGTCCCAAAAAGAGTTGGCCATGGCATGGCATACTGCCTCTTCCTATATATCCATACGCTAAGAGGTGATGCGTACCTGACTCATTTGTCCATGGAGGGGGATGGCAGTGAACCCCAAGTTTCGAAGCACGAGAGCAGTCCTCTGGGTGTTATTGCAGGTACTGCAGAATATCATAAAGGAATTTCCAGCCAGTTCATTCAGAATATAAACCAGGTAACTGTCCTGTGGAGGATCAAGAAAAGAGATGACAAACACTAACGTAGTATGGTGCTACATCAGCGGTCTCCAACCTTTTTAAGGAGATCACCTTTGCAGTTAAAAGCAACCCAAGATCTACAGTGTGCTGCCACCCCCCACCAAACAGGTAAGTCTGTGGGGAGGGAAGCGGTGGAGGTGGGCAGATAGAGGCAGAGGGAGAAAAAATTATTTTGGGGCACACCTCCCCAGCAGGTAAGTCCCACCTGGCTGGGGCCCCACTCAGCTTACCCCGCTCCTGCCTCTGCAGTACTGTCCCTCACCGTGGGGGCCTCAATCTAGCCCCTGCCCCTTCCTTCCCCAACAGACTCACCGGCTGGGCTGGGGCATGCACGTGGGCACTCAGTCCTCCACCCCAGCCTCAGATTGACTCCAAGAGGCTCCAAGATCTACTGCAAAAGGCTCCGAAATCTACCAGTGGATTGAGATCCACTGGTTGGTGAACACTGGCCTACATCAACTGCAGTATGCATTCAGCCTAGCAGTAGTTCCCATTAACCAGAGAGCTCCGATGCTATTTTCAAATGCGTAAACTTGAAAGCAATCCTTTGATAAGAAGCCCTCAGGGGAGAGATTTAAAGAAGAGTAGATCATTGGCAATCCCTCCCAGTCAAGGTGATTATCTTCCATGATAGTCTTATCTGTGGGTCTGAAGACGGCTGACCAGGCTGATCCAGGATTGACAGACTCTATTGCAGCTTGGGCACATGTTTCCATGTGAGGTGGGTGGCTCTGGGTTTTTGATTCAGTCCACAGCATGTTGTTTCTGTCGCTCCCGTTCTTCCATCTTCTATTGTCGCCATAAGGTTTCAAAGTCGTGTGATCCTGGCAGCAGACTTTTCCTCCATTTGGGGCAGTCCTGGATAATAGTCTCCCATGAGTTGACGTTGATGTTGCAAGTTTACAAGTTGGCCTTGAGGATGTTCTTGAAGCGCTTTCTCTCCACTCCTCTTGAGCATATGCATTGACTGAGCTGGGAGAAGAGAACTTGCTGTGGGAATCTGGAGTCAGACATCTGGATAATGTGGCTAGCTCAGTGAAGTTGATGTTGGATGATCATCACCTCAGTGCTCATGGTGTTTGCTTGCAAGGGGATGCTAACAGTACATCTGTCTTCCCACTGGATTCCAAAGGTCTTTTGCAGGTAGCATTGATAGTGTTAGGGTAACAATAGTTCGGCTTATTGGGGAGCATTGGATCTGCAGCTGAAACAAGGCTCTAAACTGTGGCTCAGAAAAGCTGCTGACCACAAGGTAAAATGGTGTATTAAAATAACTTTGCAGATGCTTAGGCAAGTAGTTTTAACCATATAATGGGATTGTTGTGAAATATAAGATTTTGTTTATATCAAATAACCATTGTCATTGTTTTAACCATTTTTCTGGAAAAAGCAGCAAGTAAGTCCGTGTGCTGTGAACCAGCTACAGCGAGGAATGAAGATACAGGGGCCCAAAAAGGGTTGGGATGGCACAACTTAGGACAGAAATATAGATTGGAATGTGGAAGATAACATGTAACCAAAGGGTGGATGGCGTTTGGTAAAGAAACCTCCGAAGTCTGCCAATTGACTGAAAGGGTTTGTGGCCTTAGACATGTGCTCATAGCAAAAAGGCATGTAAATGAATGGAATACATAGGCAATTCCATGCTAATGAAAAAAGCAGTGAACAGAGGTGGAGCTTGAGATAGGAGGAGAAATGGGTGGAACACAGGAGGGGCGAGGGTAGCGTGAATGTTAATAAGTATAAACCAAAGTGTATAAATATGGGAAAAAATATTGTTCACTGCTGCTCCCCGTATTCTGGCAGTGAGGGAGCTTGCCCAAAGCTGTTTCCATTCTGAATAAAGCTGTTGTGAGCAATGTGACCTGGTGTTTGCTCTCTGTTCTGCTCTGGCTAATGAGCAACAGGATCCATGGGCAATTGGACCATTGCCTTCCTCGTCGTTAGGCCGCATGGAGTTGGGGTCTAACAGATGGTACTTCTCTAGTGGTTTGAGATGTCTCAGCTCTGTACAGTAAAGTGGAGATCATGAATGCTTGATAAACCATATGCTTGGTTTTGGATCTGGTGTTGCAATCTTGAAACACCTGTTTCCTCAGGTGTCTGAAGGCTGCACTTGCACATTTGAGGTGATGTTGGGTTTCTTCACTGATGTCAGCCTTCTGCAAGAGATGGCTTGAAAGCAATCCTTTGATAAGAAGCCCTCGGGGAAGGGATGTGAAGGAGGGCAGATATTACCATCTACTCATTAGTGAGGTGGGAATAGTTACCTTCCAGTCCTTTCCCACAGAGATTCAATTTTTGTAAATGAAAGCAGAGGAATGTGTTATACCCCATCATCAGCATTTCATTGTGGGCAGCTGCTCACTGAACACTTCCCGGGAGGTGAAGCTGTGGAGGACTCTAAGCAAGCATGAGGACCTTCCAGTATTTAAGAAGAGAAAATGCTACTTAAGTATGTCTTGTATTACCGCCTATAAGCCTCACCCAATCCCCACTGAAATTAATGGAAGGGCTCCTATCAGTTTCACTGGGGGTTACATCAGACCCAAACTCTAGCTAGGAGCAGAACCTTATACAAACACTCTAGTGTGTACAGGGTGGGGGGGTTGATCAAGAGGGAGAAAAAAATAATTAAGGGTACACCTCCCCAGCAGGTAAATCCCACCCGGCTGAGGCCCCACTCAACTTACCTCTGCCTCAATCTAGCACCCACCCATACCCCTCCCCTCCCCCATGGACTGATCTGATGAGCTGGGGTGCACGTGGGCACTCAGCCAGCTCACCCCAGCCTCGGATCGACTCCAAAAGGGTCTGAGATCTACCAGTGGATCGAGATCCACTGGTTGGTGACCACTGTGCTACACAAAAACAAACTTGAACCATATGCTAAAAAAAGTTGGTGGGGGGAAAAA